TATGGCCAGTGGCTCCAAGGCCAATATGAAAAGGATTGTGGACAGGGGACAACCTGTTGTGTGCCCCAGAGGATAGCAAAGGATTCAGATGAACAGCCAGCATATTTTACTAAGGTGATTTGGCATATAGACCATATATCCACGCAAGAAAATCTTCCCCCAATCCCATTTACAGCATGCTAAGAAAAGATGAAGCCATGACAGAGAATTAAATGCTTTGTGCACGTCAAGGGATAAGAGCATTGTTTCCAGAGATCTGGATTTGGCCAAATATATTAATTGGAGCACTGGGTGTATATTGTTCCCAGTGTGGGTATGAAGCCCACGTAATCTTGTGTATAAACTTCCCCGAGAATGTGTTGATGAGCCAATATTTTCATCAAGAGCTTGACATCTGTGTTGAGGAGTAAAATAGGCTGGTAAATAGACAGAGTATGTGGATCCAAATTTGGTTTGGGTAGCATCATGATAGAAGCTGTAAGCACTTCCAGAAGGAAGACATTGCCATAGGGGAGAAAATTGAAAGAGGATAGAAGTTGCAGGGTTAAAATATCAGACAGCTTTGTGTAAAAAAAGAGAATTATAGCCATCAAGACCAGCCCGCTTGTTGGTCTTAAGTTAATGGCATCAAATACCTCCTGTGCTGTGAGTTAAAGTGGAGTAAACCCACTTTTGCATCTTTTACCTACAGGTAAGCTTATAATAAAGCTTAGTTGTAGGTAAAAAGAATATCTCGTATACATGAACAGTTTAGGAGATATTCACTATTTATAACAGCCGGCGCATGTGCTTTGAAGGAACGGCATACTCATGCCATTCCTTCAGATTACTGTGCCATGGCCATGGCCCGAGACTCCCGCACGCATGGTGGATACCAGCACTGCAGCTTTTCACCTGACAGTTCCCCCACCTTAAGGTGCAGCCTCTGGACGCTCCACCATGCCCTATTGCTGGGGTCTGGAGGCTGACTGAGAACCCTGCCTCCAGGGTCTGGAGGTTGACTTAATACCCCACTGCCAGGGTCCAAAAACTGTCTGGGTTCCTTGCTGGTCAGATCCCTGAGGAGGCGCAACACCGAAAGCTTACAATCCCTTAGTGCAGCTTACATCTCAATGCTGGGATTCAAAAGGCAACCCGAAGGCTCAACACCACAGTCCTTGGTCCAAGCAGGTACCCTGACGCCAGTGTGTCCCATCACTGCTGGACCTTTCCCATTCAGGTAGCTAGAGACTGCCATGCATTTTAACTGCCTCTCAGGTCTACGCAGGGAATAGATTACCCAGCCCGGGTCCCTAAATGCATCTGGGATTGCAGAGATATCGCCTAAGTCAGCACAAGGTCAAATGGAACTCTGCCCTTCCCTAGAAGACCTCTACTACTGGGTTTGTAATAGGGGGTGGAGCTCTCACATTCCAAGTGGGTATCTGGACCTCCCAGCTTTGGTGCAACAGGAGCAAGTGGTACCTTAATCCAGCCAACAGAGTCCAGCTGAGCAGCAAGCAGTGAATAAGTATAGTCTGATTGGATGTCAGCCCAGGAATCAATACAGTCTATGCGGGCAGCGGCCCAGGAATCAGCATAGTCCGGCATAGCGGCAGGTAGAGAATCAGTGTAGTTCAGCTGGGGGTCAGCCACCCGGGAACCAGCGGCAGACTTGGAAGTGAACAGCGGGGCACCAGCGGCAGGCTTGGCAGAGGACAGAGGGTCACCAACAGCAGGCTTGGCCCCATTGGCAGGCATAGAGGCAGAATGAACCCCATCGGCAGGCAGCTTAGAGGAGGAATGGAACCCATCGGCAGGCAGCATGGAGGAAGAATGGACCCCATCTGCAGGCAGCATGAGGAGGAATTGACCCCATCAACAGGCAGCATGGAGGAGGACTGGACTCCATCAGCAGGTAGCACCGTGGAGGAATGGCCACCATCGGCAGGCATTATGGAGGAGGAATGGACCCCATCGGCAGGCAGCATGGAGGAGGAATGGACTCCATCAGCAGGAAGCATGGAGAAAGAATGGATCCCATTCCCTGAGACACCCACTGGTGGGCACCAGAACTACAGCTTTTCACGCAGGGAAGCACAGTGCCACCAGCAGGTGAGCCAGGTCCTGACACTAGAACTTAGAAAGTATATCAACTGGATTACTAGTTAGTTTACTGTGGGCCGTGTGAAGTGAGATAGTAACCTTCTCAAGTGTTTAACAAGCATCATACCAGGTTCAAAACCTTTCACATAAAATTTATGTTTTCTCCACCACAGTTTTGTCTCAGCTTCATCAGTTAAACATAAGTTCAGTTCTGTTTTGGCTTTGTTGATGAGTGTACAGGTGATCGGAGTTAGACTACGTTTATGCTGTTTTTAGATCGCATTCTAATTTTAATTCTGCTTTCCATTTATTCCTCTCCCACTTGCAGAGAGAAGACATTTGTATCATGTGCCCTCTGAGTACAATTTTATATGCTTGCCAAAGAGTCACTGGGGAAGATACTTTGTTGCGCAAAAAGTATTCCGAAGAGAGCGATTTGATTTTATCAAGGATTTTGAGGATGGACTGCAGGGAATCATTTAGGGAGCAAGATGGTTCACATGGTTTCAGTTGCAGGGAACAGCAGTAAACTACCAGTGGGTCATGGTCCGACCATGGCACAGATAGCCATGGGGCTCAGATACTGAATACTCTATGTACAGGTATTAATCTGTCTCAGATGCTGGCATCCAGCAAGGGTGTTCAGATTAGTGGGTTGTACCTTAAGGAATCAGGAATCAGACTGAGTAAGGTTAAAATAAGTTTATTAGGACAAATGACTTCCAACACCAACATCAATAAATCATAAACATTGCAAGTGATAAATAAACGTGACAGTGCAAAAACATCAAATGATAACAAACTATATACAAAATGGGGGGAACACACATGGGCAGGACAGGGACAAGGGAAGTAGGGAGCCAGGTACTGGGAGCATGAGCAGAAAGCAAGAAACAGGGAGCAGGTCACAGCAGCAGTTCTCATGGTCAGGTACAAGGACCAGGTTCAGGCAGGGGTACGGCTTGCAGGAAGAACATCGAAGCCCTGAACCTCAGTCAAGGGCGGGATTATATACCTCCCAGCAGCCTACGTCAGGTGCAGCCTAATTATTTGGACAGCCCAGCTGCTGGGAGACTTCTGCTGGTGGCCACCAGAACTGTGCCCTTCCACCCTGGGAACAGCAGTGCCACCAGCAGTAGAGACACAGGTCCTGACATAACCCTACACAGTTATCAGAATACCATATTTTCACAAGTGGTCTTTTAAGTGTAATTTTGTATATGAACATAAAATCAGCAACACAACACTCCAAACCTGAAACAAAGTAAATGTATATATCCTTACCAAATAGAGCAACCTCTTGGTCCTGCCTCTGGACTTTTTTCAAATCATGTAAAAAGGTCTATAAAACACCATATCATTGCCATCGTTTGTGATAATGAGTGAAAAAAGGTGCATCTCATTCTCTGCCATTCTTTAGTATCATGCTACTGATTTGTGATCTATTTCTGGGACTGTAAAAAAGGCTTTTCAGTGCACAATATGGATTTAGACAGTGCAGTTTAATGCAGCACCAATATATTTTTGTTATCTGACCGACTTTGTTGTTTTCTCTTTCAGAGAAGTAAAAGTTACTCCTGCCTCGGTGAAGAATGAGATTGATTTAATTCAACGTTTCTGCAAAAATGAGGAACGATCTGTGTTGAAATCAATAGAGTACACATCAGGTTTGTAATATGTATTTTAATTGTATTTTAATTAGCATTATAAAATAGTTTAGCATATAAAGTTTATTTTTTTTAACTGGAGTTATTTAGAGATCTGCATTATAACTACATTTCCAAGATGTATCAATTTGAATAACTCATGTTTTGCTAAAAAAAAAATGACTATTGGTGTACCTTTTATCACATGAGACTTTAAAGTGGTTCTAAAGCCTAAACGTTTTTTACCTTAATGCATTCCCAGCATAGAGGTTAAAAATGTTTAGGTAACAATATCTCCCTCTCGTCCCCTCCTATACTTACCTGTGTTCTTACTCAGTCCAGCTCTGTGCCTGTCTGCAGTGCCTCTGTTTCTCTCCTCACTCTCACTGGCTCCTGCTGCAGTCAGTCAAATCCTGTGACGAGGGAGCGTCTGGTGGGGCTGAGCCACGCTGTGTGTGTTACATTATGTAGTCTAAAATAATTATTCAACATATTATTGCAACACAAGCCATATGATTTTAAAGTATACTCTTAGTGTGCTTATGATTATGCATCTCCTTCCTTTCCCAGACAATTGTAGAACATACATAACTTCCATCATGTTCCCTTAAGATGTTCACTGTGTGGCCTTCCTGTTACCCCACAGCCTTTGTCCTTGAGTTTTATGAATTCTGCAGAGTGATAACTGTATGCAAGCCATTCTTCTTCTTCAGTGGAAAGCCAACCCACAGCCTAAAAATAACTTCGAACAAGCTGTAAGATTTCTATGGATGCTTGCGCAGTTGCCGTAACAGTTTATTAATCACTTCAAGGCCAGACACTTTCACCCACTTCCAGTCCAGGCCATTTTTGAGCTTTCAGCACCGTCACAATTTGAGTGACAATTACTCAAAAGTCATGCAAAAAACTAGTCATGTAACACTGTACCCATGAAATTTTTATAATTTTTTTGAATTTTCTTTTGTTGGTATTTATTCACCACTGGGTATTTTATTTTTTTGCTATATAAATGGAAAAATGCCAAAAAGTTTGAAAAAATATTTTTTTTCTTGGTTTTTGTTATACGATTTTCATATTCATTCTTCATAAATTTGATCAAAATGTATTCTGCTCCTTTTTTGGGTAAAATAAAAAAAAAATGTATATTATTTAGTCTGTGTGAAAATTATAGAATCTACAAACTATGAAATATATATTTGAAAATTGATCAGTTGAGACCCTTACATGCCGGACGCTGGTATGACGTATGGCAGTGAACAGGATTCTGGTATTGGGTATGGCAGTGGTCAGAACACTGGTATGAGGTATGGTAGTGATCAGGATGCTGGTATGGGGTATGGCAGTGTTCAGGACACTGGTATGGGGTATGGGGTGATCAGAACACTGGTATGGGGTATGGCGGTGATCAGGATGCTGGTATGGGGTGATCAGAACACTGGTATGGGGTATGGCGGTGATCAGGATGCTGGTATGGCATATGGGGTGATTCGAAAGCTGGTATGGGGTATGGCGGTGATCAGAACATAGGTATGGGGTATGGCAGTGATCAGAACACTGGTATGGCGTATGGCAGTGATCACGGAGCTGGTATGGGGCATGGCGGTGAATAGGACACTGGTATAGTATATGGCAGTGTTATTGTGAGCACTAGGACAGGTAACAGTGGCTGGCTGCATTGTTTATTGTTCTAACACTAGGACAGTGATCAATGACACTGGGGCAGGCTGGCACTGCAGTCTGTGAGGGTACATGCAACTTGACAGGCTGCAGTAATGGTTCTGTCTGCTCTCACAGCCGATCTGTGTGAGAGCAGAGAGAGACAATCTTTGTTTGGTTTCTATTGTTTACTATGTGATTGCTGTGATTGGACACAGCAGTCACATGGTAAAACACCGCGTGATCACCCAGACACAGTGGTAATGTGATCCACTGTGTCCATGTGACAAACGGATCACCGGGCTCCCAGATGCACGACCTGTGAGCCACGCAGGAGCTGCCGATGCGGGCTGACATAGAGGTACATTAGCCCGCATTGGCACTGCTTCCTGTTTGCCGTTTATAGGCTTTGGGCAGACGGGAAGCAGTTAAGAAGATTTAAACCATGTGATTAAAAGGTAAATGCGAAAGCAGAACTAAAGGCACAAATACGTACCTTAGATCCAATGGTCCAACACCCGCAAGCTCTATCGCCGGCATCTTCTCCGCGGATTCTTCCGAGTGCTGGTCTTCAGCCATTTTTATTGGCCTGTGTGGTATGACGTGACTCCTGCACATGCGTAGCTCACTGTACATTCCGCAGGGAACTGCAAAAATGTAGGCAAGTGTATATTATTGCAGAGGAGACATTGCATGTCTCTTCAGCAATAAAAAGCCTGCCTGTTTAAAATTTCTATTTTTTTTACAGTTAGTTCCACTTTAAATGCACCTTAGCCAATATTGTAGCTTTTCTCAACCCATGTCACTTTTCCTGAGCAGCTTGGTTAGCAAGTACATGTGTCCTAGAAACAGAAGTTTATAGTATTGTGATGAAGTGTAAGCTTGCACAGAGACTTGAGATCAGTGTTTTTGCTGGTACTTTAACAGCATTGTATATTCTTTCTAGATTATGAGTTCTCTAATGGGTGCCATACTCCACCATGGCGGCAGGTTCATGGGGAAATCTGCTATTTAATGATAACACCACATGATACCGATCCTTTCTGTGTGACATGCAGCACTGCAGGTGCTTTTATAAACAGGGTAAGCGTGAATCTCTTTTTGGGAGTGCAAAATGTGGCTTTATGAACTGTTCTCTCACCTCCTCATATTACTCATTTTGCAGGGTAAAATAAAGGATAAAGATGAAATTAACTATGACAGACAAAGTGAAATTTATAAAGATCTCATATCCCTGTTGAAGGATAAATCACCACAGTTTGCAGAAAATATCAGTAAGCAGGTAAAGTATCCTTTATATTGAGTTTTTCTCTTGATACAGTTTGACAGTTTGGAATGATGTTGTGTTGCAGTTTAGGTTCCTGAGATTACAGTCTGCTATTATTGCTATTATCCTCTTCATGCAAGCCTTATACTTCAAGTATGTAGGCAGGTTAGTGAGCGCACTCCTGTAAGCGGCAAATGCACTAAAAAAGAACTACAGAGCCTTTCCAACTGGAATTGACAAAATAAAAATAGCAGCGCTACAAACAATATCCTTATGGCAATTAAATCGAAGTGACTGGTAAACAAAGAAATTGCCCAATGACTAGCAAAAAAAAAAAATAATAATAATTGTCCAATGCAATAGCGTCAGATGTGGTAATCAGTTCAATTATGGAAAAACTTCCAAAAACGCTGGTGTAATCCAATCAATATCGAGGAGTAGGTAGATTGCCCACTTACCAGAAGCGCAATCTCAATGCGCATATGCAGGTCACATGTGGCCGAGGTCTCATGTAGGCGCTGCTTGGTAGTACCCTGGTAGTCCCTCAGTGGTAAGCAGATGTTGGTCTGGTCGGATCACACTGCTCCTTGGATCCACACAGAAGCCTTAAATGCTGGGGCTGAGGTATGGGGACTCAGTGCCAGGTATGAGAAGTAAAAATGCTCATAGTGTAGTAATTTTAAAAAATTTTTATTAAATCCAATGTATAAAACACATGCCTGCAGCCTGTAGCCAGATAAAGCGGCTGTGAAAAAACATCCAAAAAACACTGACCAGTGAAATTCAAGGGTTGGCCGCCGGACCTCCTGATCCGGCGGCGTGACGTCAAGGCGTGCGAAGGCTCCTCCTAGACGCGTTTCGTGTCAATACATGTCTACAGTAGGGGTGATGCCAGTCACTTCGATTTAATTGCTATAAGGATATTGTTTGTAGCGCTGCACTTTTATTTTGTCTATACTTCAAGTATACCTGTCATATAAAGTTCCAAAGTTGTAATAAGAGTTTAATAGAAGGCAACCTCTGGTGCCTGTACTTTCCTACATGCTTTATGCAGTGCTCTCCAGGAACCCCGAGCCAGACGGTTCAATATGCAAATCTCGACTTTGAGCGCTTCCATTTCCCCCTTGCAGTATGCGTTTTCCTATAGGTCAAAGATGCATTACCCATTGAATAGTACAGCGGTTGTGACAGAGGCATAGCACTTTATTAAATGACAGATTTCTTTCAGGTTGCATCTGCAGTGATAGCCAATTAGAGGAATCCATATGGGTGAATCTAATAAAGCATTGCAAAGAAAAGACGTACAGAGTGAAGTAACCTATAGCCACCCAGCAGAAATAATTTTCACTGATTTTGCTAAAATAAACTGAAATCTAATTGGCTCCTGAAGGTTTCTGTTTTTTGTGTGTGTGCCTGTTCTGTGTATTTCTCTTGGAGTAGAGTGACTGAGAAAAGCTGAACTAATGTTTATAGGGCATAGCTATTAGTCATCTACAACATTCACTAATATATACGCTTTGAAACAGTTGTTCAATGTAACTGGTTGGATAAATAAACTAAGTCATGGTACCATTAGTTCAGAAGTGAGAGTCTATACATAAAATGAATGTCATATAGTTAAGTACTGCATTCATATTTCCATTAAAGCAATATGCTTGGAGTAGTGTTAGTTATACTTAACCTGGCTCTGGTCTCACTAGAGCAATATTTAAGATGGTATGTCGACTTTTCGGCTTCTCGGTATTGGTTGTTTTTGGCATGGGAGTATTGGTGCAAAGGTTTTTGGCAACTAAAGTTTTGGCAATAATAACATGTACTTGAATACGTTCTTTGCCATTGTTTTTGGCATATATGTTACATATAAAGTTTCTTTGCAGCAAAAATCATACCCAAAAAACTAAGACAAATTCATTTACCGTAACCTTAATCTCATCCTCACCCTAAACAATGGAAGCTCCAAAGGTAACTAAATTCCTAATTTTTAGTGATCACTATAACCCTCATTCTAGCCCCATAAACACATCCTTTAATCCCTGGCTATAACATTACTATAGCCATAATCTTAGTGCTGAGTTTGCTCTTGCAGAATGAAATTTCCAGCGCCAAAACAAACCTTTGACATAATATATCAATGACAAAACATACAGTACTTCAAGGGGTTTGTGCAGAAGAAAACACACCAACATTTCTCAACTTGACACAGCTGATATGTGCTGAAGAACAATTATTATAGCTGTTATCTTGTTATCAGATTTTGTCTCCATAGATATCTCCACTTATGGTGGAATGCCAACCAACAAATATTTTCTAACTTTTCAAAGGGGCGAGGAAGATTTAGAACATTTTGCTTCTGGTCTTGTCTCCATGCAGAACAAAAGTTAAAGACTCCACATTCATATTACAGAAAATTAAAACTTAGAATAGTAAAGTGTTTTCTTCACCCCTTAAAGAATTTGTCACCCTAAAATATCATATATATGTTTGTTGTACCATGTACTTGCGTTATAAAGTATCCTGTTGTTTGTGTTGCTATCTTTTTTCTGAAATACTTGATGACCCTGTTAGTCTTCCTGCTTCCCTATTTCAAACTGACCATGCTAGGTATGAGAGCACATCCATCTCAGCATGGTCAATGTTCTGGCTGTGCTGGGAGCAAAGCCTGCCTGTCCTCCAATCGCCCCCCTGCACAGCCATTCACCGAGAAGATCAGTGTGCTGCTGTTTATCCGTCCCACCTATGTTTTTGTGCATAGTTGAGTCGCTTAGCCTTGTTTCCATGTCTTATGCACAAAATCATAGGAACTGGGATGCAGAAAAATGGCAGTAGGTGCTCTGGATTGATGACTCAAAATTTTAAATATTTGGCTATAACAGGAGGCAGTTTGTTGGCCGAAGTGCTGGAGAGCAGTACAATAATGAGTGTCTGCGGGCAACAGTGAAGCATTGTGGAGGTTCCTTGCAAGTTTGGGTCTGAATTTCTACAAATGAAGGTGGAGATTTTGTCAGGATCAATGGTGTTCTCAGTGCTGAGAAATCCTTGCTTTCCCCCCCCCCCCAAATCCTTGGGTTCCCCCCCCGAAGCACCTTGTTCTCATGTTGATGGGGACGAGGGCCTCTTTCCTACAACCCTTGCCAGTGGTTGCGGGGGTCTGCGAGCGGGGGGCTTATCGAAATAGTGACATAATTGGTTGGCCCCGCCCCTTAGATATTTAAGAACTGTCAGGCGGTGGGGCTGTCAGATGGCGGGAGCCTTCGTCTGAAGTGGAGTCTTTTTTTTTTCAAGTTGGTGGCGGTGGCGGACATTGTGATTGACGATCAATCTACACCGGGGGACTTATAAGTCCCCCACCCACAGACCCCCACAACCACCCGCCAGGGTTGCGGGGAAGAGGCCCTGCTCTAAATCACCACCCCCATGTTGAGGGCATGTGGCCTGGTATGGTCCGGGGGTGTGCTCGCTCATTCCCCCCATTTTCTGACCTGCTGGGCTCCATGCTTGCATAAGGGTCTGGTATGGATTTTGGGGGGGGGTCCCACGCTATTTTTTTTACATTTTGGTGTGGGGGTTCCCCTCAAAATCCATACCAGACCTGAAGGGCTTAGTATGAATGGGTAAATCGACATTTTCAGTATCGCATGCGATATGTGGTCACCTGACCGTCAAAGGTACAGTTTGAAGTGTAAAGAACAAAAAAATATTA